TTTTCTCTCTTTCTTCATATTTCTCTCGTAATCTTATAAGATTTGATGGTCTCTCTCTTCTATTTTTCTTTTATTCTCTCTCTTCTGCCTCCTATTTTCAATCCAATCGAATAGGAGGTATTGCAAAGAAAAGTTTTCAAAGTTTCATCGCAATCTCGTCGGTCAAGATTTTGTTTCGTGAAAAGTTTGTCATCGTCTGAATTCTAACCTTTCATGATCTTCAAGTACTTTAAATGGAAATCAACGTTTTGCACACACCGAATTGACTTCTGAATGATTGAAAGCAACATTCGACTGGTTTGCGAAAAGTTTTTTTTTGTTTTGTTCTTTGACAATGACAGGAAAAAATTTTTTTAAAACGTCGTCATTCACTCTGAAAGAGCACATGAAGGCAATTTTGTGAACAAATTGGAGGGAAGATGAACTTGTATGTTTCATGCTGACCATAAACAGTTGATTGACAGTCTCGTAGGTTGAACAGGATTAGCAGCCATACCTACTACAAACATGAATCTTTCAAGAGCTTGTTCGAAGCTTGTTGTTAGAGCGTGAGTTAAGATGAGTATTAGAAGGAAAAAAGTTTGAAATTCCACATAAGGACTATATACGCTCATTCAAGTTTTGACCTCAATTGATACTGATCACGATCCCATTTGTGTAGTTACGATCTAACCTACCATCAGTATTTATCGTTTTTTTTTGTTTCAATTTTCAGATGAGATGGGGGAAAACTGTTCTGAAAGTTAGAGGAGTAAAGAGAGAGTGAGAGATAGTAGATCAGAAATAGTATCGGGATCTATCCTCTCATTTCTCAATTACCAAGTAATAAGTACCTTCTTCGTTCTGTCTATGCCTCTCAATCTCTTTATCTCTGTCCCTCATCCCTTCATCACTTTGAAGCTTTTTCGTCCCTTCATTGTGAACGATATGGGAGTGAGGGAGTCTTGAAGAATGAGAGAAAAAAAGAAAATCATAGAAGAGTTTGTAAAAGGTGGAGACACACGAAGTATGAGTTTCAAAATAATTCTTGAATTTATTTTTTCTCCTGACTATGTACTTTATCATTTTCTATTTTGGGAACTTGCAGCTTGTCGTGCGCTGCTCAAGCGGTCATCTCACATTTCAATAGTTTCATATAGTATCTTTCTTCTGTATGACTATCTGAAGTCTCATCGAATACGATGATGTTTCTCATCTCCTCTCCGTCAACCTGTGTGCATGCCCTGAGGGTGTGGATAGAATGACCATTATCTTTCTGTCTCATTCTCCCGCATTATCTTTAACTCTCTTTTTTTTCTTTTCTTTTGTCATCTTTCTACTTTTTACATTTTCTCATTTTTATTCTATTTTGACAGTTCAATTGGGCTATTCGTTTGTCTTAGCTCTCCTCATTTTACAAACTGTCTGACGACTACTTTTCTATCTCTGCTTCAAAATCTCTCCTCATTTCATATGTTCTTTCGAGTGTCCATTGCTTTCTGATATTTGTTGAGCTGTCAAAGTGACTTCTTACAGTCTTTAACAGTCTCATAATCTCGTCTATTTACAAACTATTTCGTATCGAATTTCTGACCATTCGTCTGCTCTCTCTCCAAAATATCTTCATTCTCCTCAACTCTCATAGGCTTATTCGTTGTGTCGCAACTTTCGACTCGACCAGAGCTGCGAGAGCCGTCGTCCATTTTCAAAAGCACTACAGTACAGTCTAGCTATACTCTTCTACTTCTGAATACTTGTTCATATATTTTCTGTAATCTTCTTTTCTCTCTTTCTCTCTTTTCTTCTCAATCCCTCATTCAGTCCATCTTTGAATTTATCTCAAGACGGGTCTTCTTTAAACTTATTCTCCCTCTTCTACTCATTCTTCTTTCTTTCTAACAGTTGAAGCTTACCTACATTCCCTCTATACAGTCTAGCATTTCAGTTTTCATAATTGTCATCAGTTCTTGCTCACTTCATTTTAACCAACTTCTCTCAATTTCATCATCTCCTCCCCACCTCTACCACCACCACACCCCTTGAGGGCTTTTGTTCAAGCCATCATCACCCACTTTATGTCTTTGACCTTCTACTCAACTTTTTCAATTCTTCATCTCCTTCATTCTCTCAACCTCCCCAAATTTCTTTTTTTTGTGACAAAAAACATAAAAATAACAACAAAAGTATTGAAACAAGTCATCTGAAGCACTTGAGCATCCTATTCTTATACTCATTCATCTCCGAAAAATGTTCCAAAACGTTCACGATTCATGAAATGCACTTTCAAAAACTTTCTTATCTCACAGTATTTCACTTCATCTCAATAATTATTCAGTTTCTTCTTCTTCATATAAGGTTACATCGTCTTTGACATTGTCAAGCTCTTTTCTCAGTCTATGTCAATATGTATTTCCATCATCTCATATATTCAGTTGTTTAACTTATATGTTATAGTATAGTTAAGGTTACTTCATCCTTTCCAATCACTCCATTTATCCCTTTCATCTATCTACATCTCTCTCATTCTTTCATTCTCTCTCTCTCTCTCTTTCTCTCTCTCTCCGTCTCTCTCACATTCTATTCTACTTCTTACATCTTATGATCATTGTGAGTTATTCGAACAACTCTTCTAACTTCATCACAAGTTCATCTTTTGGTTTTTTCAAAAATTTCTTTTACAAGTCTTCATTTTACTTTTTTCGTTTCATTAACATAAAGCGTTGACAAAGAGTAACAGAGAGAAGTAAAGGAATTCCCTTTCAAAGTCCTTCTTCGCCGACATCTTCTTCCTTTACCGTCTCTATTATCTTCTTTCCTTTTCCGTTTACTCAACTGTCGCAAGTTTCTTACTTTTCACTCCCTGTACCCTTCAATATTTCTTTCTCTTTCTCCCTCTCTCTCGCTCTCTACTCTTTTGTATTTTGTCAAAACGGACCTTTAACCTAATATGGAAGCTTAATTGTCTTTGATAGTAACGTCCGTTACTGTCATTCAGATGCTTCATCTATCAACAGTCGTAAGATGAAAACCTCTCAAACAAAGAGTTTGAAAGCAAAACGATCTTATATGGTTTAAAAACTATTTTATAACTCCGTCTTTCCCCCCTCACATTCATCTCAGAGAAATACTCTGACTAGCAAACCTCAACCATGTGGTCCTTGTCAGCTCGCTAAACTGTAAAAGTCCATAAACATTTCGTTGTTAGAATATTTGAAACTTTTTTTTTTGCGACTGCGTAAGTCATATGGTTTCAGCTCCACCATTCAGAAGTCTTATGCATTTGAAACAGTTTGTGAGTATCGACTGTGATTAGATTTTTAAAAAATCATCTTTGATCGTTCATAAGACTATCATTTCGTTTTCTTTTATCATCTTCCTTCAATTATTTGCTGTTACCGTTTAAGCATCAGAAGCTTATAAGATTTCCTCCAAAACAAAACTTTCAATCAGCTACAGTCAGTTCAACTTCGAGTAGATGACGATCAAAGAGACACAGAAAGATAGACAGATAATATGATGAAGTATAAGAGGGTGTGTAAGAGAGAGAGATGCAAAGTTAAGAGAGATTCTACCTGAGTTACAGATAAATTTTCTCTTTTTCTCTCTTCTTCGTTCTCTCTCATCTCGCAATTCATCGACTTACTGACCATCAGAAGCTTCAGCACGCATTCCTCATCGAGCCTCGTCGCGATTAGTACGATTATGTGTTTGTTTTTAAGAGTCTTTCTCTCAATCTTTTCTTCTATACTCCGTATTTGCAGTCAAGACATACCATCTTTTTCATTTTTAATCTCTTTTCAGCTATTATACCTTTTAATTTTGAATGTTTCAAATACTGTCTGTCTCTGTTAACAATCATCTTCTCTCTCTCTCTCTCTCTCCCTCTCTTTCTCTCTCTCTATCTGTCTCTCACTAGTAGTGTGCTCTGGACGAACTAACTTGAAACTGTCGCTTTTCGTAATTCATTTTTACTTCTTCGCATTGCGTCATATACTCCAGTTCATCGATTATCACCAAATACTCACTAACTCATTTTTGAAGAAGCTTGTTTTTTGTCTTTGATTCCAATCTGTTGGTCATCTGAATAGGTTTGACAGATATATTACGTCGTCAATGAACCGACGAGGACAGTTCAGATGACAGCTGAAACGCTGTTAGTCTTTGTCATTTCAAGTATGAGCAAAGGCTTTCTGTTAGAAGGATAGAGATGGGGAGGGACTACAGAGTTTAGAAGTTTAGTTCCTTCAACGTATGTCTTCAGATATCATACAAACACAGTTTTTTAAAATTTCTTTTTCGAACATCATAATGTAATGGAAAAAAGAAAAAAAAAGAAAAGTTTTTCTCGCTTCACAACTCTTGTAACTTCAAGACAAAACTGTTTTTTGTACCTCTCATTACGCAACTCACTCTCCTTCCAGCTTGATGACTTGTGTTCACAAGCAGTTTATTTAAAAAAAAAATTAGCAATGAAACGTTCCCGGTACAATCGAACAACATTTTGTAGTCGTGTTTTTAGCATTTTTTTTGTTAAACATGAATATTTTGATGATATTGCCGTTGTCGATGAGAGGTTCGATGAGAATCTTGCAATCGAAGGTTGTTCGTTCCTATTGAACCTTACTTTTTAATTTTTACATGTGTACTTATCAAGCAGTTGGACAGGTTCTCACAACTATCCTATTTCAACAAGTTCCAGCTTGGACTTGTAAGCTTAATGCGTCTACCTTACTCATTCCTTATGTTTGTTCGTTCATGCTCTTCATACTCTGTTTTTCATCTTCGAATACTTTTTATTCATTTTTTTCATTTTTCAGGATTATCAGCCGAGTCATCTGTTGCTGATTCCACAACTTTCTATTCGTTTCTCCGTTCTTTTTCTTTTGAAAGAAAAAGTTTGAGAGGGAGGAAGAACTCAACCGGTGCACATATAGCCATCGTTACTAATCAGAATTACCGTCTCATCCTTTTTTTCCTTTGGAAAATTATTTTATTCAATTTTTTAATTGGTCAATGAAACGATGACCGACTGCCATTCTTCGTACGGCAGTGGCCTTCTTCCTCCGACTGAGCTTGTTGCTGCTGCGGCTGCTGCAGCTGCAGCTGCCGTCGAACAATTTACTTCTGGAGCAGAAAAATCCAGTGATCAGATGAGCACCATATCATCATCAAACACTTCTACCTCTGCTGAACAGCCATCACCTCCATACAGTGGATCGAAGAGTAATGATCAGGTAACTATCGTAAATTGTTTCTTTCCTCAATAATGTGCAATTGTAGTTCTCTCCACCAGAATCTTATATGGATCAAAGAACGGAAACTCCATCATCTGATCAGCTACATCTTGACTTCTCATCTAACAATGGATACTCTCCTGATGGAACACATAGCTCTGATCGTGATGAGTCTCCAGACACCGTCTCCACCTCTTCAGGTGCTGAGCTCCATGCTGATTCCACGGATATCAAACCTATGATATCCGCTGATGACTCTGAACTTCAACGACGTAAGCAATCTCTAGAACAATTCTCAATATATTTCTGTGTTTTTAGAGCTTTTACGGCTGCAATCTTTTGCTGAGAGTGCTGGAGGCGATAGCAACCCTCAGTTGAACCTTCTTCAAGCCTTCAGCAATTCTTTGTTAGGAGATAAACTCTCAGCTTCTCTATTAGCGGAAAAGTTGAAACAACAAGTAGCGGCAGCTGCTGCTGCTAGTTCAGCTTCTGTGAACTCAAGTTCTAATTCTGTAAACTCGACAGCATCAGCCGTTCCATTAGTACCATTAGGAGCGACGTTACCTCATCCAATTACTACCGACAGTACGCCGACAAAGCGAAAGCGCCAACGCAGGTAAACCAGCTCATAATAAAGGCTGAAGTAGCTTTTATTACTATTTTCAGAAATCCCGTCTGGCCATATTTTGAAGTCATCGATGGCACTGCTCGTTGTAAGCAATGCTTATACAGCACAAAATCTGTTTTTAGTACAAATCTCAAAGTTCATTTGCGATCCCATCATAGAGCAGATTACGATAAAGTAATTTTCAAATGTCTTTTATCTTATTATACATACTCTTCCAGGTTATCCAAGCTGAAGATGCTTTGAATCTGAACGCTCTCTTGTTGAGTGGAAACTCGAACAAACTGTTCTCACCTGATCCACGTAAAAGGATACCTCCAATGACAAGTAGCATCCTGATGACCATCAACAAATGTAAATTTTGATCATTTATTTTTTTTCTATACACTATCCCATTCAGTAGCCAATCAAACTAATAATGAAGATAATCCATTGAATAGCGTACTCCGTCAGACTTTAGCTGCTGGAACTCTCAGCCAACAACTTCAACAAGTCCAGAATCATCTGGTGAGTATTCGTTTTTCATTTAAGCTGTTTTAAGATAACAATGATTTTTATTTTCAATTCGTATTTAGGCTCAACAACAGAAACAACAACAACAACAGAGTTCTGTTCCACAATTCCCATTGAATGCTGCCAATCTGGCTGCTCTGAATAATTTAGCTCGTAATCAGTTTGGATCTAATAATCAATCAACCGGTTAGTTAAGCTCACCCTAGTTGGACAGTTTGTGTTTCTCTTTCATCCTTCCCATCTTCTTCTCTTCATCACCTTCTCCTTTTCAATTAATATTCTATTTTCAATTTACAAACAAATCAGTTTCTGTTTCGACTATGACGATTATCTTTTGCCGAGAAGACAAAAAAAAAGCGGATTTATATCTTAAAAATGAAACGAAAAAAGAAGTTTATCGTCTTTCTGTCGACTGGTCATCAGAATTAAAATAAAACTTTTTGAGTCAAAGACGGTCAGGTCTTTTCCACACAGTTTGATTGAAGCGTGCAGCTGGCTTGGCTCAGTCTGTTGTCTGTGTCAATATTGACTGAAAATGACCGAAAATCTATAATATCTTAATATTTGTTATTTAAATAATAAAATTTAACCAAAACTATTTTAAATTATGTGATATTATAGGTTTAAATGGACTTACAACTGAACAATTCATTAATCAGTTCAATTTTCCAAGCAATCCCATTAAGAACGGTATGACCTCTTACTTGAGATCAGAAATTTCTTGGAAAATTTTCATGTCCTTACTCTTCTATTTTCTTCTCTCTTTCTCTCTCTTTCTCTCTCTCTCTCACTTGATATATTTTTTTCTTACCAGTCCTTCTCTCATTTCCCTTCTCAACAACTTCCTTACAGATATTCAAGCTCCACATGGCACTGATGCCAATGGTATGCCACAGCCAAAACGAAGACGGCTTCGCCGCCATCCCGTCTGGATGTTTTTCCGAGATCTCGAAGACCGAGTACGTTTCACTTCATACCTATAAGCCATCTTTTCTTTTGCCATGAATATCTCACTTATCTTTGGAATGAAAGAGAAAATCAAAAACAGAACTTAAACATATTTATTTATAGATGGTTGGATGTATAAATTGTAACTTCCGAACGGGTTCAGCTTTCAGTACAAACCTTAAAATGCACTTGAAAGCTCATCATAAAGAAGATTATGAGCGGGTATGTGATGTTAATTATAGAAATGTTAAATAATATGTTTTTTGAAGGTATTGAAATTAGAAGACGATATGCGAATTGAAGAAGGAATATTTGGACCACCAAACAAGATGAAATCTGAACTGATAGACTTCATTCGCGGTGGAGGAAATGCTTCAACTCCTCAAAACAATTGTGAGTTCTTAAGCCATTCCCCTTCGACCTTTCCTTGTTTTGTTGTTCTTTCAGTAAATTCCGCAAACCCTAAAGCTTCTCCTTTAGTTCAACAAATTTTGAATCAAACAATGGGAAATAGAACAGGAACATCAAGCCCACAGCTCAAGAAAGAAAGGTTTGTTCATCTTCCAACATATTTGTTAAACTGTATGTGTGTTATTCAGTTCTGATGATGATCCATTCAGTGGAATGTCCATGTCTGATAAGTTGGCCGCTCTTGTTGGTTTGGCTCCACCAGCTGGCAGTGTTGAGGGAGAAGTCACCGACGATGACAAATCTCAAACAACATTCCGTTCATCGTCTTCATCTGCCTCGGTATTCTTTTTTTTTTTTACATTTTGTTACCGTTTTACTTACAGAATCCATTCGAAGAACTTCGAAGAGCAGCTGAACGAATCGTCGCAGCCAATATGGGTTTACAGCCTCCTCCACAAGAGTTCACAATGGTTAACTTGAATGGATCAATAGTTCAGCCAGAAGAAAAACCATCTCCAACTAACTCAAGCACTGATATCTGTGATGATAAGAAGAATGATAGAGATCGCGCACTTGCCAGGTATCGAAGAGATTCAGGACTAATTCAAATGACACTCTGTTCAGATTTTGGCTTGATCAGGGAGGAAATGATGATCTCTTAACGAGTGAGATATTCAAGGAACTTCTCCGCTCATTAGCTCCGGAATACGAAATTCCAGCACCAAGTCATCTGGCTGCTCTGGTTGAAGAAGAGGGAGCTCTTACAACTGTTGGCTTACATTAAGCTTTATCATCCTCATCAGGATGTTGAAGTCAATTGTACTTCTACTCAAAGCTCAAAAATTAATAACAGCTGAACAGAGGCCTTAATCAACTTGTTTCAACATTTTCATTGTTCTACCCTCCTACTGTCTGCTCGTTTGTTTGTTCAGTCAAAAGCTGTAGGCTTACGGATTTTAGAATCTATCTCGATTAGTTATTTTGTAGCTGTTAATTATTACAATGGCAGTTTCAGCTATAGTATAGGGATTTGTATAGCAACATTTGCATACACAAAACTTATTTTTAGAGAAAAATTCTTTTTCAAAATCCCTTCTATGTAACTTTGAGTGTCAAAGCTGTTAATGGTTTCTGTTACTTGTACAGCTTCCCTAATAATTCTAAGCTTTTACTCAAACTTATCCTCTTTTCCTGTTTTTTTTCTCTCTCAAAGAAACATCTCTCTCTTTCTCTCTAACACACACACACACTCTCTCTATCTCTCTCTCACAAGCCAACAAAGTCCTTCATATGTGATGATCCCAAGAAAGGTAATGTCTTTCAATATAAATTCAATTGTTCAATCCACAAACCATTTTTTTATTTTTTTTGTTGAATTGTGTGTTCCGTTTTCCTTTTCTCAGAGGATTACCATATTTCCATTGAAATTCATCTCAAGACCATATTTTAACAAGAAGTTGCAATCTCTTTCACTTGTTTTACAAAAGAAGTTTTGTTTTCTGCTTCCTCCTACATACTTTCATGATTTCCGATCCGAAATTGCAATCCCATTAGGCTTCAATTTGACCGTATATAATCACCTTTTGACCGTATTTGGCTGTTCTAGAGACAAATTGTTTGTATATGTATGGATTTTTGATTGTTTTCAACTGAGCATCTGGAGAAGAGAAAGATTGTTTCAAATCTTTTTCTAGAACGAAGCTCTTTCCCTTCTTCTATATCATATAATATAGGTTAGAGAGACATTAAGTGTAGTTTGAACTTTTAAATTCTATAGAATTCTATGTGACGATATGTTCTTCCTCTTTTGTACTCTCTCTCTCTCTTTCCCTCTTTCGGATGAATTGACGGATAAGACGGTGATTCGCTAAAGCTGATTCGTTTTTGTTGCTTACTGAACCACTAACTCATTAGCCATGTTTCTTATGCATCGATGTGCCGTATCCCCTCCCCATTAGTCGACAATAATCATATTCGGCTATTTGAGAATTTTTTTTCTTCCAGAACAAACTACAGTAAAGCCAATTTGACAAGAAAATTCATTTTGATTTTTGGTTTTCTATTTTTTGCTGTTCATTTAACATTTTCCCATATTGGGGATGATATACATATGCTAATATATATATACTATATCCATATATATAATATAAATATATTTAAATCAAATGGAGTTTCCTTGTCAACATTTCCTTAACTCAGGGAGTGTTCTTTCATCATATATAATATAGCTTCATTCACAAGCCATCACATTCATTTTGATTCCAATCAAACTCATTCTTGGCTTCTGTTGCCGTTCACACATCTTCTTCCATCCAGACAACCGTACTCGTCTCCGCTACCCTTCTTCTATATACCATACTCTTCTCTCACCTCGTCTCAGCCTCAGCTTTTCTTGTTTCTTTTTTCGAACCCTCAAACCCCTCCCAATCGCATCCCTTTCTTCACTCTCTGATTCCCCCTCCCTACCACATCCCGTCTTCGTTTCCCTCCCCATCTCCACAATATTACTTTGTTAGATCAAATCATATTCATTCTGACAATCAACCTTGGAATAATTCCAATTACAAGATGATTTCTTGTTGTATTTACATATTTGCATTTGTCTTCTTCATTTCTCTTTCAAATGTTGTATTTTCATTGCTTATTTCAATTTTTTTTCATTTTTTTCATTCGGTCCCGGCCTATATGTTCCCGCGTTTTTATTAAATATTATATGAAAGATTCACAAGATTATAAATATATTATGTATATTATTAACGTTTTCTGTGTTTTTCTTTACTTTCTTTGTAATGTTTTTTCTATTTCAAATCAGATTTCTATAAAAAAATAATTTTCATCAACATATATTTCGTTTTTGATAAGCGTTTACATTGCGATATAGCACAGATCGTTTTCACTCATCGTCATGGTCCGTTCATGCTGCGTACATCGTGCGTGTATGTGTGTGTGTGTGTGATTGCTTTCAATTGTTGATGATTATGATGAATTTTCATAAATTTTTGAACAGAAATCAACGAAACAAAGATATTATTGGAAGTGTATTAACAAAGAATTAATAAATTAGCAAATCCTACAAAAAAAAATAATTTTGTAAAAATACAATGGTAAAGCAGTTTGTTTTTCGAATATATCAAAAGGAATGGGCGACTTATCATGGCAGGACAGGGCAAGGCAAAAATCATTTTTCATGAGTTTTCATGTTTTCTTATCAAGAACGAGTTCAAGTACAAATAGAATATAATCACAGGTATAGTTCCAGTATGATGAATCAGAGGAGATCGTGTGATGAGATAGCATAACCTTACTCAATTATAAATAATGATAACGGTTGTTCCTGATGCTACGACAAGCATCGAGAACAAAATGATAAGGAAACAGCGCAGTGCGCTGAAGCGTCGTCGTACTGAAGAAAAAAAAAATTTCAGATGACATAAGAATTTGATTAATCTTACCTACAACCGGAGTTGTTGTTGTTGCAACTATTTGCCCATTTGCTCCAGTGGTCACCACTGTTTCTTGACCATAGTATGCAGGACCATAGCCCCCTCCACCGCCAACTCCGATGATTGCAACACCACCTCCTCCATTATGATGATGATGATGGTGGTGATGACTTGCGCCATGATGGTGATGTCCACCGCCAGCGTGACTACCTCCACCATGTCCATGATGTGTCATTGTCAAATCTAAGAGGATACGGTTAAACTAGTACGTATCCATGCGAAGTGTATTGCCAGAAGATAGGTAAAAAGATAATCAATTAATAATCTTTGTTCAATATGAAAAAGAAAATTCTAAAGATCAGCAGAGCAACGATAGAATTAGACACACTGCACAGGCTGGTTGGTACTCAAAAGATCTTTCAGAATCCAGAAAGTAATAATAGCATGCGTACATGCGTAATGCTTTAAGTGTGAACTGAATCATCAAATGAGAACATTTGTGCGAGAGCATCTTGTTCACCAACTCTTTTATAGAAAAATTTCAATATCATCAAGATAGTCTCTTATCTTTCTTTTTATCAATTTATAATTCCTTAATTAACTCAAATTTTCAATTGTATTCTCTATAGAGACGTCATCACCGTCATTCTACCCCATGACGGATTACTAATCATTATGATCTGTCTTATGTGAAACAGTCTTTCAGGATCTTTTCATAATCATTTTGTCAATTCATCATTCCGCATACGTTGAAGTACTATCATGAGTTACTTTTTTCAGCTCATCATATATACGCGATTTCCCTTCTTCTTAATAACAAAAAAATATTTTAATGACCAGCGATCTTTGCTTGACTTATCATCTCAACTTAAGATTTATTTCTCAAAATACAGTAATAAGATTAAACAAGATTAATGCTGGCGAGTCACTCTGATCATTGGTGACATGAGTCAAGACGCCTAAGAACCGGAAACGAGTTCATGTAACTCATGCTTATTGCCCCTAATGTCATTAAGATAACCAAAACAATTCACATCATAGTAAACTGAAAGCGGTTTCATCACGACAATTAGAGATTCAGATATTCACACGTTAGTCGCACTTGAATCAAATTTCTCATTGATGATCGACCGCTAACTACACTGTACTGAATTAAAATGATTACACGCTACCCACGCCTGAGTCACCGCTAACTGTTGGTAGCACAAGCAAGAATGATTTCGGACACCTTGCTCCTGAACCACCGCTAATTACGATGTAGGAAGTTAAAATGAAAACAGGCATACCATGAACTTCTGCAAGTTATTCCGTGAAAAACTACAACCTAGACTTGAGCTTGAAACTGACGGCTGCAGGTATGTTTTTGAGTGTAAGCAAGAGCTACAAAATGATTTAACATGATTCACGAGTTTTGTAATAGTTTTGTTTAATTGAACAAACATTGTCCTCATAAGGCAATACATATCTCTAAGAACCCGTTTGATGAAGAGAAGACAAAACAAAAAAAGAAAATCCAAGAGGTCAAATTAGATGTTTTGAACATGGTTCTGTGTGAAATTTAGTGGATTTCCATATATAGAAATATAATAATAACTAATTGATTGAGACAAACCTTCATTTCATCAGTTGATGAAACCTGTCTTCTTGAGAGTTTCCCTCCTTTCATTCTATTTTCAATGGAGTAAAACGGAATTCTTGAATCATAGACACAGAATTGTATTATTGTTTTTTGTCATCATCTGATGCGCATAAACAGAATAATATTAATCTCAGAATGATTTCTGATGCAAATTCTATTTTCTTGTTCATTAGCCTTCCGAGCATACCGTTCTACATCATACTCATATCGCGTATGTTTCAAAATGGATTTCGCGACTTCCAAAGCACCTTCTATTCAGCTGTTCTGGGATTGGTAAGACAATCATATCACCGTATGAACATTTTGATCTGAATTGTTTCAGATGATTGTCAACTTATCGTCAATCTGTTTAAGCATTATCTCGTTGAGCTTTACTGAATTTCAATTTATGAAATCATTTTTCTGGGATAGCCGAAGATCATACCTTTCTGTACTTTGCTATGCTCAACTATTCTTCTTCTTATTCGCAAGTTGTTTTAGTCAAATGATTTTCGCATTTGAAAGGTTCGCTAACCACTTTCTCAAATCTACAGCCTTCTTCAAAGTGAGTTCACTGTCTCAGTTCAACTTCCTCCATCTCACATCATTCTTTGGGAGATTTTCATTCTATTATAAGTCTCTTGTAGTTCAGAATTTCTATGTAACCTCATAGAATCACAAAAGACACAAAAAAACGTAGGCGCTAACTCTTGGCGATGAGGTGTCATGCCATGTCAGCTCATAAACGGTGTACGCTGAACAAGTTTCAATTACGTGATAAGCCTAGGTTGCAATTTTGATAGCTCTACAAATGGTGCTCTAAAAACTTATAAAACTATAAACGTAGATCTGTCCCCTATCTTGCAACATACGATATTAGTCATTGCGATCACATCTTGTCAGTTGTGGAATGATGGAAGAAGCAGAGTTCATAAAAAGCTTCAATTATAGAAAATATATTTAGGTGATTGCGTCATCTTTCACAAGCATACAATCCATGGCTTCTTGGATCTCGGCATTGGTGGTAGCTTGGCATATATTCATTCAATCTGATATATCCTTTGTGGATGGGCAGAGCCTTCATTTCAATGTTCCATCAACAGAGGTATTCAGCTTGATTACACTTTCATCTAAGGTTACTTCGTTCTAGTTCAATTATTATATGACATTGTATGTGCTATCAACAGCCAATGTTATAATATTAGTCTTTGATATCATGATCATTACTTCTCATATGATATCTCAGCAGCCGAAAACACAAAAACTTCAAGATTTCATTCAAATTGCGTCATCAACTCCTCTCATGATGTTGTTAGCATATCTCTGCTATCACGGATATCATACTCATGTAAGACTTTCTAATACTCTACTGTATATATAACAAGAAAGGCCTGAAAAGAATTTTACCAAGAATGGAAGATACAGAGGACAATGGCTTAGACTCTCATTCTCATGATATCTCAAAGCTTTTCCCCCAAACTATCTCAATGGCTATAAGAAGCCAAATACATCTGTGCTCCCGATTGTTCTAATCCAACATAATATGATTTCAGATAACGCAAGAGATCTTTGCCATCGACAGTTTATTCTACGTATTCTGTGGAATTAATACATCACTCATGGCACCCGTTCTGTTGCTCGATAGCCGTATCCGTCAATGTTTATTAAAATCCGAAGAAAGTTAAAAGACGAATAAGAGCAGCCCAGATATAAAAGAAAATGGAATAAAAAAAAATTTTTTTTTCTCCTTCTTCATGCACTGATGTCCATAATGGCATCCAAATTTAATAATTGTAATAAAAGAGAATCTAATTGCCATAAATCAAAAAATTCTATTTGTCGATGGCTTTCAACAAAATCCAAACCAGTGGACTGAAAAAGAGGAATTTAATAATTGAAATGAGCTTCTTGAGCAAAAAAAAGAGAAGAAAAGATGAAAAAAAAGGAAACGAAATGTCATCATCTCCTCTCATCCCATTGATAGGCTATCAGAAGAATGAAATCGTGCTCGGCTTTCTTTTCATTCATTGTCTTTCTTTTCTTCTTCTTCTTTTTTCTTTTAAATAACTTACAAAAATGGAGCTTAATAGTAAGATTATCGATCCTAATCGCTCAGCTGCTGGTTGGCCATTCTACGAAAAATTAGCATATAAGCTTTTTCTATTTTTAAAATAATATAAACTTTAATATAATGTGAATGAAGAGATGAAGCTATAGCATCAACTTGCTTCCTCATCACATCACGTGCAGCTGATGAGACATTCTCTATTGCTTTAATAATTCTATATTTAATATATCTCATCATCATCTAGACGCATACCTCCTTGCCATGAGACGAATCCTTTTAAAGCCACAAATTCTTCGAATGATAGATCTAATTGTAGAATTGGAGGAATTATCTCGGCCATTATTTTCTTTAGCAATGGCTGATATATACTTAAAAAAGGATTTTTTTTCATTTATCCCAATTCTTCTCTTCTATGTTGGCTCAACTGCTTTTTAATTTTTCCGCTTATTTCTTTCTCATCTTCCCATCCATCTTCGCAATCGTCTAAGCAAGATACATATCCTCCGTTCTGCATGACGAAACGATCCGGATATCTGCAAAGTTTCAGCGTATTGCTTGGAAATATTCAAACTTTACGTATTTCACGTATCTCTATCTCTATCTCTCCTATTCTCACTCTCTCTCTCTCTTCCACATTTCTGATATTCCTATTAGTACTGTTGATTTCTTTTTCTTTGTATAACTATTACTATTACTTCAACGAAACGGTTGTACTTCCAACAAGAATAAGAAAAAAACTTCTCCGTACTGCTTACCCGATTTGTATAGAAATGAATACTGGATCCAGAATAGTATGAAACAAAACACATTTTCGTAAAAACGAAACCTACAAATATATCTTATGAATAGATTATGTGGTTAAGCTTGTGTTGAACCTTATCTGTGTTATCCAATTTCTGATAATCAGGCCAAGCTTGTAGCCATTCATATATTAATAGGATATGTGTTCGAATGCTTTTTCGAAAAGCCCGAAAACTCAATGGACGTATATCTTCCCTTGTATAGGGCTGAAGTTTCAAACATGTAATGATTAATGTGAACTTCTGATGTGAAACATACACAATGTCTATTTTGGCCTAATAGTCGTTCAACTGGACGCTCACAAAACATAATTCTTCGTCTTTCGCCTAAGCGCATCTCCTCACGTACGAGCAATGAGAGAACCTGTATAGGAAAGAAATTAGCATAACTTTGTAATTGTGTCATACATCTTCTGTTTGCAATACGCTAGGTCTAGGACTGATAGGTATTTCGTATATTTCCGATGTCTTACTTTCAACCGCAACAGGACTGGCTGTTGATTGTCGTGTTGATGTAGACGAATTGCTAGCACAATCTGTCGGCTCACTCGCTGTCTGTATGAGTTAGATTTCTAGTTTTAAGTTACTTCAAATGACCAACAGATAATTCCTTATGAGACTGAAGAATGTCGGCAGGTTGTATAACAGCAAAGCGTTTATTGCGACGAAGCCCGGATTGTGTGAAGAAGGCTCGACCAGATGAAACCTGTTGACGTTTTGGTTGAACACCTTGTGATTAAACGAAAAAAATAAAAACAAAATAATTGAGAGAGATCTATACCTCGTCTGTTCATACCATTTTTGGTGCATTTTGCTAATCGACATGATCTACAGATTTGATGCATTGCTAAAATGAATCTGTCAATCATGAATGCCTTCAGATGTTGTTATGAAACATACAGTAATGTACTAAACAGTCATTCTTGCCCGTAATACATCGGAATACACGTTGTAGCGAGACTGTTCGTCGGAAGAATGCTGCACATGCTGAGCAAGACTGAGCATCAAAATGATAGCCAGTAGCTTGAGCTGAGCAAATCAGACATGTCAACGAACCAGACAGTCTAGCTGATGGAGATGCAGCATTCGGTGATCCATGACACGAATCAGAATCCAAAGAGTCTGATAAGACACACAATGAGCGTAATGGAAGTGAAATAAAAAAAAAAAGAAAAAATTTTTGAAAAAATAAAAAATAAATTAAATGAAAAATGGAAAACGCTTGAAGCTTTCTGCTGTGTTTTTGTTTTCATTCAACCAATTTCTATGAACTATTAAAGGAATGAAAAGTATTTTGAACATACCTAAAACCAAAGGCATATGTTGTTTGCCATATGGAAGCATAGAAAGAACTCAATGTCATTGTGATATGATAAGCAATAGAGATCAATCAATATAGTTGTTGTATTCAAACTGATGCTGATAAAAAAGAAGTTTTTTTTCTTTGAAGTCTTCTTTGATCTATCGATTTGAAACACACACGCGCCATACACTTGTGAACTTTCGTTGTGAGCAACAACAAGAAATTAAATTTATTTTCAAGGAAACCTATTGTTTGTGAGCATGTTTTTGATGAGGAAATGAGAAAAATGTTTGTTTTCTTTGCCAAAGACAGGCTAAAGCAGCTATGACAACAGTTTACAGAATGTCTTAATTACCTCTTAAGAAATATATATGTATAGAGAGAGAAAAAGAGAGGGGATGAAGGAAGAGAGACGGAGAGAGACATGGGTTGTACGAGATGGATAGAGGCAGCGAATGACAAGAAGCAGTTGAAACAGGTAGAAGACCGTCATTGGTAGCATAACCCATCCAAATACGGAAAATCATAGGACTTACAAATCATTCAATTGAAACTAGCGTTGGTGATATTACGGAACTGTATAAAATATTTCTAAACCGTAAGTGAGTAAGAAGCAGTTGATACAGGTAGCAGAACATCATTGGTAGCAGAACCCATTCAAATACGGAGAATCATATGGGTAAGCAATCATCCAATTGCAACTTGCGTTGAAGCAGCAGAGCAGCTGTATAAAATATTTCCAAAACGTAACTGAGTAAGCAGTTGATACAGGTTGAAGACCATTAGAGGTAGCATAACCCATTCAAATACGGAGAATCATAGGGGTAAGAAATCATCCAATTGCAACTAGGGTTGAAGAAGCAGTTCATCTGAGTAAAAATTTTTCTAAAACGTAAGTGAATAAGAAGCAGTTATTACAGGTTGAAAACCATCATTGGTAGCATAACCCATTCAAATACGGAGAATCATAGGCTTAAGCAATCATTCAATCCGAATCATTCAATTGTTGCTGATCTGAAGAATATTTCTAAAACGTAAGTGAATAAGAGAGAGAGAGAGGGATTGAGAGAGAACATCCAAGTGACAGATAATCCATTAACTTTATTATATTTCCATTGATTAGATATTATATAAATCTCAATATTTTAAAATAATTTCATTGCGTAGGTGTTAGGGGGGGGGGAGGTGGTGGATGTGCACATGTATCCTTTGATTATTACACAAAAAATATATAAAGCAACAAGTGCAGAAGCAGATAGCTTTTCCACTTAGAAAATCATTAATTCTTCTTCATTTCGTTTTCTTATTTTCATTTTCTATCATCGTCTTCCTCTTCTTCCTCTCTCTCTCTCTCTCTATCACTCTCTCCCTCTCTCTCTCTCTCTCTGGTAATCAAGTACTGCAACACAGAATTAATATTTTGATTAGAAGAAGCAAGTAAATTTCAATGAGAAAACAGTTTTTTTTTCACTTTTTCCTTATCCTTTTCACATTTCCTCTATTTGCTTTCAACAAACATCATGAATTTCTGACAATGGCTCAGGTAACATTTCGTCTTCGTTTTCTCCCCTCCAGCTTTCTCCTCCCCTCACTCTTCCTCCCTTTCCCTCTTTGTTACATATTTGGCAAAGTTTATTTGTCACAGTTGTTTTTTCTCTATTAAATATAAATATATATATATATATAAATATATATATATAATATAGTATGTATAGGATATATCAGCAAACAAAAAAAATATCTCCAAATTCACATGAATTGAGCGATTTATGTGGTGGTAAGCCGCCGCACCGAACAGTATTTATCCATATTAGTCATCTTAATTACTCCATCGGAAGTTGGCCGAAAAAAAAAAACAAAATTCATTTTAATCTATGACTTCATTTCGGTTTCGTTTTCCCTCTATGTCACTGTACCTCTCTCTCTTTTTCATTCTCTTTTAATCAATGTCTCTCTTTTTAATTTCACTCTCCCTTCATTCATTCAGTGCTTTTTCACGTCCTCTCTCTCTCTCTCTCTGTCTATGTGTCTCTCTCTCTCTCCTTCCTTTTTTGCCATTCTAAACTGTTTTCTCTTCTTCTTCTTCTTCTTCTTTCTTTTTGAGCTATTATATGTCGGATTAGGAAGACACTTCTTACGTAATTTCTTATCTTTTTTTTTTTCAATATTTTCTGCACATTACATTGCCATATAAGCTTCTCCTTCTTCTAAGCTGTTCCAATCGTCTGCTTTGCCGCTTTCCAACTCTCCCTCTTAACCATTTAGCATTACTCATTTCCCCTCTTCACTCCCTCTCTTCCTTCTTCTCTACCTCTCTCTCTCTCTCTCTCTCTCTGTATCCAACAATTAGTTCTCCCACCTTCATGTTCTATTCAACTTATTTATTTAAAGAAAAACTACTAACAGCTTATAACTATTTCGTTTTTTTCTTCTCCTCTTTTAAAAAAACAGCTGTTAACATAAGCTTTTTGTTATTAAAATAAGAAAAACTAAAAAGAATTATTATCTTTTAATTACGCAAATCGACTCTCTTCCTCCCTCTCTCTCTACCTTACTCACACTTCATGTCCTCCTTCTTGTTCTCTCGACCGACAGAATGAGGCGACGTTTTCACTTCCTACAACATACAACATCATGATCGTCAGTTGCAGTTGCATCTTCATAGCTTTCTTCTTCTGCTTCCTCTCCTCCTCCATCTTCCTCCTAAAACGATTTGTTCTTGGCAAAAGCATATGAATGAATATTAATATTTCATTTGAATCATTATGAATTCCATATGATAAAGAGTCAGAGATTTACATAATTTATTCATAATTTCATATTCTTCTAGTTGAACGGAACCGAAAAATTTTTTATTTATTTATTTGTATGTTAAAGGAATTTCAGTTCATTCTTACTTATTAATTGATTATCCATCTTTCATCTATCATTCCTTCATTTTTAATTTCTTGAGCTTCAGGTTTGATTATCAATAATTCAAATGTAATTTCAAAATCACTAATTTACATATTAAACGGAAGCATCACGTGACTATTCACGTCATCCACGTGACGCCCATTTATCTCATTTTGTCATTTGACAGCAACGAGAACGGTTGTTCTTTGAAACAAGTAAAACAATTCAAGATAGAAAGGTTTCCTCCATTTCCTCTTTCAACGTATTCCTTGTTGAAAGTTACATTTCTCATTAAGCTTACAAGTTTCTTCTTTTTTTCCACTTATTAGGCTATTTCAGAAAAAAATTTTTTTTGCCAACTTCTCCTTTTCCTCCCTCTCTGTTTCTCTTCCTGTTCCCTCCTCTCAATGTCTGCTTCTCTGTTTTCTAGACCATAAATGAGAAGCAGAGTAGAAAAGGAATCTTAGTTCGCTCCCAAATTGATCCTACTCTTCGAATGTCAAATACGACTTGTGTTCGCTTATTCTCTCCAAGCTTCAAGCTTAAAGCCTTCATTGGCATCCCGAGTTTGTCTGTTTTTTTCCCTTCAACTTCCTTCTTTGCCTTCTTGCATTTCTCCAGCTTCGTCTCGCTATAAAGTTTTTTTTTTGAAATAAATAATTCTCAGAGGAAGTAAGTGTGGAGAATAAGTCGTCTGAAAACACTTTATGTGTGAGGATTTGTTTCGTTTATATAGAATATAACGAATCTTCGCAGTTTTCAACAATATTACTTGTTGCCAAGGGTTATTGATCATTTAGAAGAAATAGAGAAAAGATAGTAACGAACAGAGAGATAGAGATAGATTGGAGGGAGAGAAAGAGAAAGAGAGGCAGAGAGATTGAGAGGTAAATGAGTGGTAAAGGAGCAAAAATGAAGAGGAAGGTTTGCCATCTGAATTATTCTCAGAAAAAGCTTTAAGTAGCTCGATGACGAAGTGTGGTACATGACGAAATAAAGAATTATTCATCCAAAATCAAATTAGATGACAACGTTCAATGCCGTTCTCTCACTCTATTTCTGTTCAGGACCCCAAATGTTATGATGAGGTTGCAAACGATGATGATGATGATGATGATGATGATGGTGTTTGGAAACAAACATGTGAAGATTTGGTTTGGAAAAGAAGAAGAAAAAAAGTTTTTTTTTTCAAGAGTTAATGAAGTCGATGAGGGAAAAGAAACTGACTGACATCGACATAGACACAGAACGTATGAGTTGGAGATGAAAAAAAGGTAAATGGTTAAAGAAGAATAAAAATATATAGAGAGAGATAGAGAGGGAGAGAGAAAGAGTGTGAGGGAAGGCATTGAGAAGATGGAGGTAAAACAGATAAACTCTCATAGAGAGAGAGAGAGGAAGAGAAGGAGAGAGTATGAGGTAGTGAATGATATAGAGAGATGAATATTGTATATGAGAGGGTAAAGAGAAATAAGACTGTCAAATCAAACAAATTCGACGATCCCGTCGTCGTTTTTTTTCGTTTCTTCCGTCATCTTACAACCTCAGTTTAGTTGAATGACTAACTCATCTTAATTCATTTTATGTTTATTTTTCCAATAAAAATTATGTTTATTCAAAAATGCGTGTCTGTCTGTCGGTGGTTCAAATTCAAAAAAAAATTTTTTCCTTCTCTCTCTTTCTATCTCTCTCTTTGTATTCACTTTATATCAAACGCTGTATAGCTTCTTCTTTTTCATTCTCTGCAGGACACCATCAGCATCATCATCATCGCCATCAGCATCGTCATCATCATCGTTCAGCTTCATCTTTCTTATTTCATATTTTAAATAAAAATCAATATTTCATATAGATAAGCAAGTGAGACCTTCTTTTCCTCTCTCTCTCTCTCTTTCTCTTTCTCTCTCTCTCTACTATTCCTCTTTTCCCCTCCAAACACAAAAAAGATATGAGATGAATAGGAAATTATATTTTTCCCTTCTTTACATATCCGATTTGCTCTGTTATTAAAAGGTTTTTTCATCCATTTTCAGTGTCTTTTACCATTTCCTTCCATCCACCCCCTTCCCAATCCCTCTCTCTTCCACCCTCTCTTTGTAGCTTTCTATGCCTCTCCTTCTTACCTTCATCTTTCCTTTTCTGTGACTGTTTTGCTCTTTTTCCTCCCTCACTCATTCCCTCTCTTATTCTAGATCTCTGTCTTTCTTATTCTGTCTATTTCTGTCACTCACCTCAAATGTAGCGCTATACTCTAGAGACTTTCCATACGTGTTGTTGGTCAACTTGCCCTTAAGGCATTTCTCAGCTTCATATCCTTGACTATACAAATTGCTTTTACATTTCCAACTTAGTATGAAAGAATGGCAGAGAATGAAGCTAACTGCCACATTTCCAGGAAAATAATTTTTTTTTCAATCAAAAAAAGCAAAAAAAAAAAATTTTGCTTTCCATTTGGCATGTCTGTGTCTTGTGTCCTAGTCCTCTATGCCAATATGATTGCCCTCTAATAAAAGACTAAAAGAGAGAATGAAATGTAGATAGATAGAAAGACAGAGAGAGAATCAGAGATATACACTCTTGATGTGCATATGTATGTTTTTCAAATAGTTTTTTTGTCTCACATTATCAAAAGGTGGGATCAGAGTGCTCATACAACAGCTCATATAGTTAAATCTTCAGGTTTTTTCCCAGTTGTTATCACACTGATTAAACATGGACAAGAAACGACTCAGTTATCTGCACCTTAAATGATAAATAGGTGAAAATCTGGCGAGTAATGATAAAAATTATACCATTCTTCATATATTCATTTATTCAATTTGTCTTTACGGAATGCGTCATGGATGTCATGATGTTCTGCAATTCAGAATTTTCTATTCCAACTGGAAATTTTCTTTCAGCCTTTTTTTTAAATTTTTTTTTATTCGTTTTTTGCTTATTGTTTCATTTGGCTTTCTTCTTATGATCCTCAGTCATGTTATTCATTTGTGATGTTACAGGTGCAAGGCTGTCCTCCTCTTCTTCAGATTCTGCGCAGTCGATCGTCGCGCGACTTTTCTCTTCCATATGGAAGTCGTCGTCGACGACGTCGTCAAAGCGGGATGCTAAGTTGGATGAAATTCGACAGCCACAAAGACAAAAGACAACAAGAGAAAGCCAAAATCGTCAAAAATTTAATGATTTGAATGAAGCAAGAAGTTCTTCAACTCCAGAAGATCAGGTACTTATTAGGAATTATGTGAAATAGTATTTGAAAAATGATGAAATTAGAAATGAGATTAGATTGATTAAGAGTATAAGATGTTTTGTTATCAATCTTTCAAAATTGAAAATACAAATCGTTACGGGCTAACAGTGACGACGAGAGGATTCATGAATCATCATAACTTTTATCTCGTCACATACAAAATGGTGTACATGTCATACTTCTGTTACTCTTTCCCTTCACTCTCTCTCTCTCACTTTATGTGTCACCAAATTATTTGCAACTCATCTCTAGCAGAAACAAAAAAAAGAGAACAGTTCTAGCATCAGAATCTGTGAATAGCTCTCTTCGTCATCACTTCATCTCCGTCCTCATTCTTCTATTGGTCAAGCAAACGATCATTGTAGTTGAACAAGCTTTTCAGTGACTGATCGTTTGTAGAAGCTTTAAAACCGACAAACACCTTGTTCAAATCAAAAATATCTTTCTTCGTATTCAGTTTAACTTTTCTCTTCTTCAAATAAAAATAACATAAGACACATTTGCATAAAAATTCAGAACCTTCTCTCATCTGTAGTTTTGCTCTGAAACCTCTCCACTACCCTCTCATCTCTCTCTATCTCTCTCTCTCTCCCTCCATTCAACAAGAAAATGTTTGTTTCAAATTTTTTTTAAGGGGGAAAGGAAAGATATGAGAATATGTTCTTCTTATCCATTTTTGGACACAAACAAACTAGCTGTCATGATGACTATCAGCTAAACTTGAGTGCCGTCTTGCTATGAGCCACTTGAATTTTTCGTTCAGCCGTTCAAACCACAGACAAACTGTCACTTAAAGCCAAGGCCCTCAGGCTCTATATTTCCTTGTCCGGAAATTTGCTAAGACAAAATTCTTTTCATTCAAACTTTTCGTCTTTTCATCTTCTAAACGATGTTCATTCAAATGTCTGTCTTCTATTTGTTTCTGCCTCGTTTTTTATTGTCTTTTACTTATTGAATTTCATCCGCCAATAATCAGATTACAAAAAATGAGATGTAAATGGTCACGTGGACGAATAAAAGTAGCGAATACTCGCTTCACCCATTGTATTCAGAATCAACTTGATATCTATGAACCTTATTCTGATGATTATGAGAATAAAGAGGTACATCAATATGTTAGAGCAAGAGACAGAGAGTTGAGTGAGAGAGGTGGAGAGCATTGAAGACGAATGCTAACCAGACAACTCAGACAGTTGATGCGACAATGAAAGAAGTGGCGAAATTATAAAAAAACCTGAGAAAAGAGTTTCAATTTCAGAACCTTTTCAAGCACCATTCTTCTTCATTAACTTTTCATTTCACAATTTCATCTTTCAGGCTATGCATGCTCAAATTCAAATTGTTGAACGTTTTGTAATAGCAACGGCTCAGAAAGGACCATTAGGTTTAGCAGAAGAATACAGGTATGCTATCTTAACAGTCTAATCTTATTCTAATCTTGCTTTCCAGAAATATTCCAGCTTTTCCGGATCCAACAGCAAAATTTACAGCTTTCACAGCGAATATGAGAAAGAACAGATACTCAGGTAAGCTGACTTGTCTGAACAGTTTGTTTACTTGGCTTCTTCTTCTTCTTCTCAGATGTTCATTGTATTGATTCCACACGGGTTGTCTTAAAAATTGATAGTGAGCGTTCGGGTGATTACATTCATGCGAATTATGTTCAAAATGAATTGTTGAATCGAAAATTTATTTGTACACAGGTATGACTGTCCTACAAATGATTCTGAATCATCTGAATGCTTATAGGGTCCATTACAAGATACTACATACGATTTCTGGCGTATGGTGTACCAAGAGAAGATTAACAGTATTGTTATGCTATGCAGGTAATACATATAATTTATATTGTTATTCAAATAGAAATAGAAACTTCCAAAATGTGCACAAGTGTACATTGCACTTTGTGCATGCAATGTACGATTATCTTGCACTTTTTGGATTTTTTTTCAATGCTGAACGACTCTGTCAGAGATTGAAAAACCAGACAGTCGTATACTTGATGACTCATCCGTACATATAATGGTTTTGAGTATTGTGAGCAAAATACATTTTTTTTTGTCATTTTGTAGTAGTTTGAAGATAGAGAAGAAGGAGGAGAAGAAGAAGAGAAAGAGAGAGAGTACGGAAGAGAGAAAGAGAACGAAGAGCAATTAAAATTAAAAATGAAAGAATTTCAATCGAATCATCAAACATTTTTGTGATTAAACTTTGATCTGAAAAGAATAATTTTAATGAGAATTTGTGCTGTAATTGACTGATGAATAATGTTTTCTTTGAATTCTTTATATGGAACTATCAAATTGTGATTTGGACAAGAATCTATTTTACTTGATAACGATTCTCCTGGGCGCACATATGAATCGAATATAGTTGTGTCGACAGCGTTAACTGAATATAATGATGATTCATCATCACTCAAAAAATGATTCTTGACCATATGCAAATTCATATAATCATATTTCAGCCCTAATGAAGAAGGTAGAACGAAGTGTGATGAGTATTGGCCGGAAGGAAAAGGAAATAAGAATGAGTATAGTAGCCTAATTGTGGAAAATGTTGGACAAGATGATGATGACTTCAAGACAACACAGCTGATCATATCTCCAAATCCAGCATTCGGTTTGTTGTTACGTTTCCATTTCAAATCTAACTGGCTACATGATGTATCTTAATCAATCTGCTCTTCGTTTCTCTCTCTCTTTAGTCTCTCTTGCTTCTATTCAATTGCATACAGTTCTGTAATCAGCAGCTCACATGAAGATGATGAGCAACCAAAAATCAAATGTTTAACTAATGTGTTATTGACATGATATATTTTAAGATTGGTCAAAAGAGGACAAAGCTAAGACGAAACATCAGTTTGTTCACTTATACCGATGGTCCAGATGGCCTGATAGAGGGATTCCCGATAAAGAATCTGTTATGATTCCTTTACGACTATTGGATTTAATTAAAAGTGGGCCGTCAGTTATACATTGCTCGGCTGGCATTGGACGAACTGGCAGTCTGATGGTTATTGAAATTGCCTTAAAAACAATCATGTCTGGACAGGAATTGAATATTCGACAGGTAAGATAATGAGACTTTGCTTATTGAACCAAATGATCGAACATAATCTCGTGACCACTCATACACACATACACATATACCGATTTGAAACACGGGATGAGGTTATTTCCGGCACGAGAAGCGAATTATAATGTGCTGAGAGGAAAAAGGAATGATGGATTCTTGATTCATACTCTTTCGCCATCTACTGACTACTCCCACACACACTCAAACACACATATGTAGACACACAGTCAAACATAAACTTCTAAAACTCTTTGAAGTATTGAAATTACAAATATATAATTTCAGATAACAGAAGATTTGAGAAAGTCCAGATGTCAATGTGTTCAGAATGAAATGCAGTATCTGTATGTTCATCGAATACTCATCGAGTATGCTATACAGTATATGAATACGGAAAAAACGAAAAAAGGAAAAGAAGCCTGTTTCCGATTTCTGGAAGATTATAATTCTCGTTTAGGCAAAAAGTAATTTTTCTGTAAAAAAAAACAAAACAAGTTATTCAAGAGAAGACACAGACAGACAGACGTGTCTCTTTCTCTTTATTTATGAAAATTCATCTTTGAAATCAGTTTTTAGTATTCAAAGTTGAGAAGCAGCAATGACTGGCTGCCAACAACTTTGAATTGAAAATGGCATTCATTGCCAGTTTCAATACGAAACAAATGATTTCAGTCAGATGTTCCAATAATCAAATCTATATTCTATTGTGACAGTACTTGCCATATTCAAGGTTTTATTTTTTGAAACCGAAAATAGTCTGCGACAGAGACTTTACAGAGATGTATGTTTCCCCCTCACGCACTCTCTGTCTCTCTCTCTCTCTCTCTCTCACTCTTCAATTGCTTCATAGTTTCTCTTTTTACCTCTCTTGTTGGACTGTACTGTAATTATCTCTCTAGCTATCATGATATTCGTTGAAACACCACAATGAGAGGTAGAGAGGGCAGAAACTGAAGATTGAATCTGAGTGGATCATAGCCATGTTCATCTCTTGTGTACATAACACTTTCCTTTGAAAGATTTATTTAAAACAGAAGTCTAAGCATGAACTGATTTTACATGTTTTCATATGTTTGCCTTCGTTCATCAGGTTTTAATAAAAAATTTAAAAATTAATTTGTGTTCTTTCATTCTACCGTATCATCATGATCATCATCATGATCACCGTCATCGCCTTCGTTGAGAATCAAACATACAATATATGCAAATGGTTTAATAAATATTAATTAATTAAATAATTATTAAATGAGTTGAAACATTAGCTTCTTCAACGTGTTGACGTTGTAGTTGTCTCTTCTTCAGCCTTTGTCTTCTCTCCGTCGTCCTTCTTCATTGGACGATCTTTGTGAATTCGATAACCGTTGGAATATCCTCCACGAGAGGATCCATATCCCTCCGTACCAGAGTTATACATATTATTATAATAGTTATTTGGGTTTGATGAAGCAGATGCTTGATATCCGTTATTACCAGTGTACTGACTGTTTCCATCAGAGTTGTAGGAGTTTCCGTAGTTACCAGAGTTATCGTATGTGCCATAACCAGATGATCCGTAATCTGGTGAATTACCGTAGCCACCGTTTGATGTTTGAGATGGCTGACTGTCAGTATTGGACCAGCCATTATTACTTCCATAATTTGGTGTGTTGCCAAATGAGGCTTGGGCCTGTTCATTACCATATCCTTGATTATTGTTGGAGTTACTGTAATCAGTTCCGTAGTTAGAAGAAGCTGGTAATCCATATTCTTGTCCATAGTTGTTGGATAAGTTATCATTTCCATAGTTTGTTTGAGGTGAGCCATAGTTGGCTATGTTATCTCCATAGTTTGAACCATAACTAGTTTGAGCATTAGGGTACTGAGTTTGTTGTCCATAGTCGGTTCCTTGACCAGCGCTTGCAACTGTTCCGTAACCGGAGAAACCTCCCCCGCTAGTAGGTTGATAGCCGTTTGCGTATCCATCTCCAGAGTTGTACCCAGAGTTGGGTGAGCCATAGTTATCGCCTCCACTATTATAACCGCTGTCTGGTGATCCATAGTTGTTGTATCCATCTCCTCCGTTGTATCCGTTGTTATAATCTCCGTTGTTTCCTTGTCCATATCCGTATCCATCTTCTCCATTGTTACCATATCCATAGTTATTTTCGGGTTGGTTACCATAACCATAGTTTCCCGAATCAGGTTGGTTACCGTAACCGTATGAACCGGCATCTGGCTGATTACCGTACCCATACCCTGTGGTGTCCGGCTGATTACCGTATCCATAGCCAGATGCATCAGGCTGCGAACCATAACCATAATTAGTGTCATCGGGTTGGTTCCCATATCCGTATCCTCCGGCTTCACCCTGATTTCCGTAGCCGTATCCAGATGCGTCTGGTTGATTACCATAGCCATAACCAGAGTTGTCAGGCTGGTTTCCATAACCATAATTGGCAGTATCAGGCTGATTCCCATACCCATAATCTCCTCCTCCATTCTCATATCCATTATTTCCATAACGGTTTCCATAATCTGATTGAAGATAAAAGAACTATTCATCAAGGCAGTGCTCACTTACCACTTCCATAATTCATCCCATATCCACTGGGCTGACTAGGTGTGATGATACCGCTTGAGCCGCCTTGGGAATAACCACCAAATCCCATTGGTGCAGACTGTTTGGCATCTGTTGATGATCCGATCATGTAAGGATCTCCAGAATTTGAAGAGCCGACTCCAGCTCTATTCATCGTAGCTTGTCCTTTCATGCTATCAACACTACCTGAGAAAAAAACATTTGGAAACGTTGAAATAGATATACTCACCATAACTTCCGAAAGTATTTCTTCCAAGTCCTTTTCCAGATTTAGTCATGGCTCCGAGGTAGCTGTTGCTTGGGCTTATTTGGGATTCTGGCACTCCTTTGTAACCACTGAATTTGAAATTATGAGATTCCGGATGAACATCTTTAGATCACCTAGCATATGGATTACCAGTGTATGTATGACTATCCACTTCCACAAGATAAGTTGCTCCAAACGAACTACCATATCCACCGCGCAACTTTGAACTGAGTGGGCCTTAAAAATAAAAAGAAATTGTATAATTATAACTTGCTTGAAATAATAGATGAAAAGTGAAAAGAAGAAGATTGTTAGATAGATAGATACTTCGTGATCTAACTCACTTCCGATACTCTTTTCATGATTCAACGAGTTAACCAACTTACGGATGTCTTCTTTGGTTTCCGCCTCCTCCTGAAATGATCAAACTGATTCAAGAAATTGCAAACAGTATTTTTGCAAGAAAATTTGAATATCTTATTTATAATTTGGTTCCAAAAGTTCGCCAGAAATGATTCAAGACTCGATTTTAGATAAACGCAACCGCTCATCGCGTCTTCATAAATCAAAATGAAGATTTGTTGAGAAAGTTGCGTCTAGAATATTCAACGTGGATATTTGCATAAACAAAGGCAATGAGGAGAATTTTTGTATCTTTCATATTTCGGCACTATTCACCTCAGCTCGGCTTTTTCTTTTCTCGGCTTTTATCTTAGCAATGGCTGGGAATGTAATGAGGGCTCCTTGATTATACGCAACTGGACTACGTTGCGCATCTGTAACATAAGACATCAATATAACAGTTTAATTTAATGCGTTTTTTCCATATTTAAAGATATTAAATATAAATAACAGACCTTTAACTGATTCTAGTATTGAAGACTTGTTTCCGGGCGGTCGATCTTCTTCAGGAATTTCAGATGTATCCTGAGTTTTCTGTGCGGTCGCGAGGACGAACAGATACAATAAGTATTGAAACTTCATGTGTAACTACTGTAATGAGTAGAGTATGTAAGATGGGAATGAATGAAACAAGGAACGCTTGAAAAATGAATGGAGAACGATGAAATCTCGAAACAGACGGTGTTTTGTCTTTAAATATCCACACACCTCACACATGTCAAATTAGAAGTCTGATTAAACAAACATGAACACAAAATAGAAAACACACACACAGTTTTCCCGTTTGCCTTCTGAAGTTAACTGTCAAATATGAAAAAAGATGCTTATTTATCTTGGCGGAGAGAACATTCAAATATTTCTTAAAATTATATGAGAAATTCATCGCTGACTCAGTTTCAGACACACCAACGATCGAGAAATGGGAAACAAATCAAATGGGAGAAGGTGAGATGACTTTCTCTGGTCATTTCTCTCTCTCACTCTCTCACCATCTCTCTCTATCATTCGTCTTTTGCGTTCTGTTTTTTTAATGCCTATCCCTCTCTCATTTGTTGATGAAACTCCAGATAGCCTCTGGCGATAACAGTCAAATATTAATGACCAGTTCAGCTTTTGCTCTCCAGAAATTTCGGCTTCATCAACAGTGTCAATGACCAGATACACAGGAAAATCCTGATAGACAGGAAAAGCAGTCGGAGCAAAAAAAGCTGTTGAACTGTGATTAAATCAAATATCAGAATGAATTATCTTCCTGTTTTTAAGTCTGAAAGAATATTATGTGAGATAGAGCTTGAAGAACAAAGATTACAGTGACTGTTTGCTCAAAGAATAGTTTATAGATGATAAATGATACATTTTTTATTCATCTCCTACCATATTTGTCGTGAGAGAGATATTATATGCGATCGAAGTACTTCCAACATCTTCAACTGTTTGCTCTCATCTTCCCACTCTGATTTTGAATGCTTTTATCTATATAATTATGCCACCGAATTAGAAATCTCTTGATATGCATTTGTATTGAGAGGATAAAAAAAAATATTTTTTTTTAAAAAAGTTTATTTTTCTTAGAAACACTGTGAAAGCACATGGAAGCTGTTGCAATGATGATCTTCCGCTACATTGCGTTGGAGATCAGTTTGGCACGTCAGTCGTTTTTTTCTGCTTTTACGTACTTTGCCACATGAAGGAGAGAAAAAAAAAGGAGGAAAAAACAGTCTCCCATATTCGAATGAGATCGGAAACATTTAAATGAGATCGAACGACATCATTTGATGTGACATTCAGCAAAAAATAAATTTGTAAGTACACGGAAAGGCCACAATGAGAAGGCAGAGAGGAAGTACGAGATTCGATGGAATATAAAACCACACAGAGAGAGAGAATAGTCAAAAAAAGCAAATACTAAGAGAGAGCAAAAGAGAGGAAGAGAGAGAATCTCTTAAAGCTCAAAAGTTACTCAGAGTCAGAATAACAAGCAAAATAATTAGCTTTTCCTGTAAGTTTCCAAAGTTTCTTCTTGATCACATATTTCAAACCATCCATTCCGAAGAAGTCTGCTTCACGCTAAGTAGTTAACAGATATGATGAGAAAACATGTGGTTGTAAGCATACCATGAGATCCAATAGGAATGGCTGATTATCAGGCAGACTTGTCTTTCTTCCATTTCTTAAGTATTGTAAGATCTATAAGATGCAGTAACTGCTTCATTTAATCTTCAATAAAGTATTTACGTGACGAAATAGCTGACCATCTCGGTCAATATCCATTCGATACTTTATATGATTAGGAGAGGAATCCCAATGAACACACGAAACCTTGAAAAAGTAAGAAAACAACATGATGAAGCTGTATCTCTCTCTCCCTCTATCCAAACCTTTATCATGAATTCGGAGGCCTTTACGACTCGTTCACGAAAATAGAGGCCGTTATTCTCAAACGTCAGAAGAGTTCGTAGTTGAATGGGATAAATCTAAGATATGGTATATAGCTCAAGCATACATATGCATATGTATTAGATACAAACCTCTCCACCAACAAATATATTAATCCATTCCTTGTCTGACTTCAGGATGACTGGATTGGGATCCATGAGAGATTCTGAAATATCCGAATGAACTGTCGTGGATTGGAAAGAACTACGAGAGAGCTGCTGTTGCAAGCCAACCAAATGCAAAAACATCTAATGAAATATTTTATTTTATGGGAGGAAATGAGAGGGGGGGGGGAGAGAAACAAAAAAAATAAATATTTTGTTTCTTTTTGAATCTTAGAGGCGAAAGTATGGGATGTGTTGAATGTCTGTGTGTGTATGGCGAATAATTCAATTTCTTTATTAGGCAAATGGATAGGCTATTTGGGTTGGATGAAGAAAAGACACACACACACAGACAAAAAAAAAAGATTAAAAAGTAAAGAGGGAAAACGAGAGAGAGAGAGGGAGGGAGATAGGGAGAGAGAGAGGGAATTGGAGAAGGAATAAGGAGGGAAGAAAGAGAGAGAGAATGGGGAAAACAGACATAGAGAGAGTTCTGAGATAGTTCGTCTGATAGTCTCAGAGAGAAGTAAGTAAGAGTTGAAAAGCCAGACAGCAATTTGCAAATGGGAAAAGCTTAAAAAAATTTTTTTTTTCTTTCCATGCGAACGGAGAGGATTGTGTGGATGGAAAGTAATTCATGGAATTAAACGACGAGACATTATAAGTTCAAAGAAGGACTATGTGTGTACTTGAGAAAGGAGGGGGGAGAGGGGGTGAATAAATAAAAAGGTAAAAGTTGCTGCAAAATAGAATTTTCTGCCATTTATGGTAATGATGATGGTAAATGAATATAAGAAGCATGAATAGATGAAACTTGCAATAGAATACAGATAGAGAGCAACTAAGCGATCTATGGAGAAAGCAATGATGGGAGTAAGATAGGGAAAGACAAAGAGATAGATTGCAAGAGACTTCAAATGAGTCAAAAAAAAGGATGAGGAAAGTTAAGTTGACGAGCTTGTTTAGAGGCTGTTGTTTCAAATTTTTTTTTATCCATTTTTAGTAGTTTTTTGTGTTTTCTCTGCTCATTCTGTCATTTGGTCGTTGTGTCTCTGTCTTCTGTCGGAATGTTTGAAGATGAACAAAAGAAGAAAAGACGCCTGAGGCAAGTAGTTATTCCATTGAATTGACATCTATCTTTGGACAAGCAATGTGTTTACTTGATAATTATTAATATACAAAAGCTTATGAAATAAGGAAATGAATTTGCAACAAGAAGGAGATACACACATGCACACACATGCACACATGCACATGTTAGGAGTAAGCTGTGTACCGAAGATACATGCAGAAGAAGATGCAGAAAGTAGAATGCAAAAGGAATGGGGGTGGCTGATTAGGAAAAAGCTTCTCCAGAAAGAAGTATATCATGTTTGCTTCTCTCTCCTTCTCTCTATTAGTCTCTGTAACGAGAAAAACGAACGAACAAACGAGGGATGAGATAGAGAGAGAGAGAGAGACTGCAATGGAGGGAAATAAAAATGAATTTTTTTCTTTTATTTTCATTTTTTTTCAAACTTTTTCCTACTTTTTTACTCAACAAACAGCCGATACTGAGTAAGAATTTCAAAGACAAACGCTCATTTTTCTATAAAAGTCAATTCGCCATCTCTTGACGGGTCTTGTCAGACATTCCTCTTCTGCCCATAAGCTTAAAGCCCATACACGCATCATGACCATAAAAAGCAATGAAATATATGAATTTCTATCATTTTCCAAGCTCAGACTCTCAACAAGACGGGATAAAAGAGAGATACAGAGATATATAGAGAGAGAGAGAGATGAAGAAGAGCTGAAAGAGAAATGAAAATTCGTTTTTTTTCCTTTTACAACGTTGCTCTTCTTCTTCATCACATCGCTGTGTCGTTGTCTTCGCTTGACACACCAACAATAATAATAATTCGTTTTAATATGGAAAATAGAATAATGGAATTGCTTCTATACAAAGTAAGATCAGAAACACAATTTTCATTTTCATTTTCTATGTCTTCGGTACTTCTGATTCTTTCCTTTGTGTTTGGAAATGCGCAAGACAAACCATTTCCTGTATGTGAGAAGAGGGAATGGGGGGGGGGGGGATGAGGAGAAGAGCATGAACGAACTGTCTTTCATGTTCCATCTCTCTGATTAAGCTCATTGATAGTTTTGTATTTCATTTTTTTTTGTATTTTTCTTTGTTTATTCATAAAAATGAAAATATTGAGGCATTTCTTGCATGTTCTCATCTGATTAACACAATCATATGATAACTAAGCGTTGTGAATCATTCGTTTTCCTCTTCAGCAAGGCCCCTCTTGTTCCGTTCCTCAACCATTTCATCCATTTTATTCTTTTTTTTTGTGTTCAAAAACTTATTTGAATCTCCTTTTGAATCTCCCTCTCTCTATCTCTCTCTGACTGTTCTCTCTTCCTCTCTCTTCCAGAATACTTTTACCTCTGAATGTTTACTGCTTCTTCTATAGTTCTTTCCATCTTTCAATTTCTTTTACTTTTAATTATTTTCAGCTATTATGACTGACGATATTGCTGATGTTTTTCATTTTTATGATAATAAAGGAGACAAACGAATTTCAGCTTCACAAGTACGTTCAGATCTTTTATTGTTTTGAAAGTTCCTATCAACTTACGTGTGATTAATGACGTAAAATCATCTGAACTACTCCACGTGCGTCTCGTCACAACCATTTACTCACGTGGAAATTGAACCTTGAAGATTCATTTGATTTTATCAGAGTCGCATGAAACGGTTGTGCTGTCCTTCTTATCTCTCATACTCCCTCATTCCCTCACTTACTCTCTCTATCTCATCTGTTTTCATTGTTTTTTGTGAGTGTGTGTTTCACCTCTCTGTACTCACTCTCACTTTTCTATTATTTTTGATTTGAAGATTCCCATATGTCTTCGTTCTTTGGAATTGAAACCGACGGAAGCCATGATTGAGCAATTAACAGTTGCATGGAAAGATAAACCAGGTGAAAACAGCGTCACAATCACGAGAGTTTATAATAATAGTTATCAGAAAGCAGAATAACAATGGAAGAATTCATTCCAATCTATAATGATCTTCGTGATAAGTGTGGCCAATCAACATCCTCTGAAACGCTGACGGTAATGCAATGAAGTAAATAATAATAAATAATATATTTTTTCTCAATTTCCGTAGAATTTGCTTTCGTTATATGATCGTGACAGTACGGGAAGCATTACGTTAGCTGATTTATCGCTTATGCTCCAAAACACAGGTGAGTAATCGCATGATAGATAGACGCCTGAAGCTGCTTATACTTGTGTCGTATGTTGTTGCAGGTGAAAAGATGAGTTCTGCTGACGTCGACGATATACTCTCTGGACTGGATATGTCAGAAGGCAAAATAGCTATAAGCGATATCGTTCGTCTACTTGTTTCAGTATGAATGTGTCAAAGAGCTTGTGAAAATGAATATTTTTATTATTTATATACATATGGTTTGGTATGTCGTTGACTATATAACATCGTGTCTTCAACTTCTATCTCTCTCTCTCTCTCAGCTCTTTTCTCTTTCTCTTTCTCTCTCTCTTCAAGTTCTTCCTCTTTATACATTCAATGATGTTTTTTTGTTTCATAAAGAGACAACGAATGAGAGAATGAGAGAGAGGGAGGGAGGTAGAGAGAGAGAGACACATGAAGTTGAAAAGATAAATGACCGTAAATGAGTAGTATGAGGAGTAACAATGCTCGCAATTCGTATAACATAACTGATGAAATATTTAAATGATTGATTTTGATTATCACACTTGACGACTTGTGTATAGGGCATTCAGATGAGGTTTGTAAATGGATACATCTATCTCGTAATGACATATTGTATATTGGCAATGACATTATAACAATAATAATAATAAAAAAAGTAAAAATGAATGGAAAAAGAGGAGAAGAAGAAGAAGAATCGAGAATATGAAGAAGTAGCTTTGTTGAAAGGCGGAATATGGTATCTTCGCCTATGGTAAGGTACATACAAATGGCTATATACAAGCATTACTCCTCTCTCTCTCTCCTCTCAACCAACAAAACATCAGCCAGACACACATATCCAGCCACACAATCTGTAGATGTTCATGTACGTGTGTGCTTGTTGTTAAAAAAAAAAACTAAAAATACATTTTGTCAGCTGATGGAGAAGACGACAAGAAGGAATATGGAAAAGAAAATTCTGTTTCTTCTTCCGTGTTTGATGAAAGACAGCAAATACCAAATATGATCAGAAAAGATGAATTGTAGATGGAAGATGAGGAAAAATGAAAAAAATAAAAAAAAAACGAAAAATGTTAAGATCAAAACGAAAAAAATTTGCATTTTTCGTTAATTCTTTGATGCTTCGAAGCATATTTGACACATACACGCATAGGATATTGCCTGAGGCAATATAAAAATATAAGACAACTGATAAGATGAGAAATAAGAAACAAGAAAATGAACTTGGAAGACACTGTCGGGACGTTTATATAATCTCTCTAAGCTTCACATATCTGAGTATCTTGCTATGACTATCTTTCTTTCATCTTTTTTTTTCTTTGAGGTGAAGAAATGAGAGGAAAAAAAACATTTTTTCTCTCCTTTTCATTCACTTCTCAGCAAGATCTTGTAACTACATGTGTGAAGCTTCTAAAGCTCTATAACGTCACGAAATGGATTTGCGTCGAAATTCATGTTCTTCCTGATCCTCATCCCAGCCATTATCTTTAACCATATGAGCCAATTCAATAATGAATTTTCCTTCTTTGTACTTTTGAGATGATTCAAATGCATGTTCCTAAAATAGAAAAGTATATGCTTCAATGTGATGCTTGCTGCCTTCATTCAGCCATTTTGATAAATTTTTTAAGCTTTTAACTAATTCTCATGAGATATGAGAAGAGAATGAAATCGTTTCGTCGGAACTCTTTCTTCTTCCTCCTCACGTCCTTCTATTTTTCTCTTTTCATGCCTCATACTCTTCCTCAATTTCAAAATTACTCGTAAATTGAGCATGGTCGTTCGATCACAAAGTTCAAAAATCTACCATCTCACCATCTAGCCATCTCTGCATTCTACTGTCATGTGTCTTACCTCCCTCTGTCTGTTCTCTCAATCTCTCTCTCTCTCTCTATCTCTCTCTATCTCATCCATTCTCTCCCAATTATTTTTTTCATTTTTTTAAGAGAAAATATTATTTTATTTGAAAATTAACTGACGTATTTCCATCCAAGAGTAGTTTTACAATTTTCACAATAAATATCAGCAACAGCATGTAATCCAGTAAGTAGTATTCGTTCTTCTGCTGGCCCACAACCGATATTCACGCTTAAAAGATGAAAAATGATTTTATAGGATGGATATATGAAATGCTTTTCTCTTGTTTGAATTAAAATGACGATGATCTTCATCTTCAGACAACATGCCCAAACGCCAATCGAGCACACACTTTCTTCACCTCAATTCATGCTGTCTATGCACGCTCTCCTTCTCTGTCACTCTTTTTTTTCTAATTTTCCCTCTGTATATTTCTTGCTTGAAGAAATGCTCAAAAAGGACAACAGTTTGTAAATGTTTTTTTGCTTCCCTTCCATGTTCCTTTTCCTAGCATACTTCCTCTCTATGTTTCTCTCTCCCTCCCTCCCTATCTCTCATTCCATGGCCATAACCAAAAAATAATAAAGAGAGAAATAAGAAATCCTTACACAGCATTGAAGAGATAAGCTTTTCCTTGACTGCCTTGAAATGACTAAAAATAAATATTAAAGAGTATTTGAGAAGAAGAATTGATCTTACTTTTGAAATTAAATCGCTATGACTGGCCAAATTGGCTCGACAATGAACACAACTATAGCAACGATCTCCAGCTGGTAAATAGTGCTGAAATTGCTCCGTTTTGAGTTCATTTTCTGCTTGAGAGAGAGATAGAGAGAGAGTAAGAGAGAGCGATGGACTGAGAATCGAGAAAAAACTTCTTTTTCTCTTCTTTTCCTCCCATTTTTTTCATAATTTCTTGTGTTTCATAGCCAATGGCTCTTGAAATGTTGAGAAATTGAAAAAAAAAGTAAAAAAAGAGAGAAAAAAATTTTTTTTATTCCTCAATCTCCTTCTAACAGTCTATTTTTGGGCATTTTTTTCTAATTTTGCCTAAAATTATAAATATTTTAGAGAAGCGGACGGACGGATGGTCAAAATATAAATAAAAAAATATTTTTTTTCGCAATTTCAGTATAAAAAAAAAAATTTTTACAAAATAAAAATTTTAGGAAAAAAAAATTTTTTTAGGCAATTTTTGCTATTTCATTTGGTTAACCTACTTGTAACATTTTGTTTTTGGGTGTTGTGGCTTTATTGTCTTTCTGCGATGTTTCAAGGACTTTCATTCTAGAGAAAAGACGAGGACGGTATTTCGGAGCCAGATCTGCTGAAATAACAATACAAACTTAGATTCTTCATTTTGTGTGTATGAGACAGACAATATAAAAATTAAAAAAAAATTAAATGAAAGGGAGACGATCGTCAAACAAGAGGCTTAATGGGTTCACTGAGAATAAGAAGAGATAAAACAAAATTAATTAAATTGTGACTAAAGAAGGAGACAGAGAGAGAGACGTAGAGAGAGATAGCGAGAGAGAGAGGGTTTTTGAAAAGCGGGGGGGGGGAGAGAAGAAGAAAAAAAATCAAAAATTCTTAATGTAATAGTAGACAAAATATTTAAGTGAAAAACACATTTAACGTCATCATGGAAGCAGGGAGATAGATGGAAAGAGAAGGAGACATACACAGAGAGAGAGTAAGCATGAAGAAGCTGAAGAAGCTGACAGAAAGAGAAGGAGGGAAAGAAGGTTGAAGAAGGAAGAGTGGGAGGCAGAAATTCTATGAAAATAAGTTGATGTTGTGTTTTTTGAACGTCGACGTCGACGACAGAAATGTAGAAAAACCTCATTTTTTTGATAAAAATCTTGAATGATGACGAGAATGGAGGAAGCGACGAAATAAATTGTCTTCCTTAATAAAAAAATAAAATAAAGAAGATGAAAAAAACGTTCGTCACTGGTGGGCAGATGTTCGCTTCAGAAGGTCATGTTTAGCTACCCTTCTAAGAACATCAGATTGTCTTTTACAAATGCCCTTACATATTGATTTTGGAATATTAAAATGATAAAAAAAAGTGTCAATTTCAATAAAATGATGCCGATGGATGGATGGTTGGATGGTTGGGGCTGGGGCAATGAAGTGGGGAGGGGGGGAGAAAAGAGTGGGCGCTCATGCTCTCTCTCTCTCTGTATATGTATATATCTCTCTCTATCCCCTTCACTCGAAAGATATTTTTCTTTTTTTGGACAAAAAATATGAAAAAGGATATTCATTAAGGAGAAATTGCCTCCAAAACAGCATTTGATATCAAACGGAAAGTTAGGAAAAACAACATTTGGAAAAACGAAATATCAGATAATTCGCTGATTTGACTGTTCTGAGCTGCTGCGAGTGCTGCATGCGCCTAGCTTGCATGCTGTTGCCAGGAGGAATGGGGCAAGACGACTGAGAGAGAGAGTACAGATAGGTAGAGAAAGGTAGAATTATTGAAATAAAAAAGGAATAAGAATCAAAGAAGGAATGATAATTTGTTAATAAAAATTGGAAATGAATGAGTTAAGCTTTTCTATTTATGCAGCGGTCAAGATGATTGGTGCCACCAGTGGTCTCAAGCAGATGCTGATCAGAAAGCAAAGCTGATAGATGACGTTGTCAGCGAACGAACGCCCTGCCTTTAACGTTTCACATGAGATTTATATATTTTATTTTTGGAGCACAAAAGGGGTGTTGTAACTTAAAAAAATTGCTCAGACAAGGAAAAGTCTACGTTTCTGGAAAAGGACTCTGCACGAGGAACGAATGGTGTAGAATAATGGGTGGAGCTTTCAGTTGAAAGAGAGTGAAAGACAGAAGATAGTCACGGGGAGATGAGAGAGAGAGAGAGAGTAAAAGACAGACAGATATGTATATATAGAGAGAAAGAGAAAAAGTAAGTAGAGAATGAATAATGATGAACAAATTACGAGAGAGTATAGAGATGCAGAAGAGAAGAAAATGGCAAAGAAATAGGAAAGTGAATGCCTAAGGGCATACGTCCTTTGCTTAAACGTTTTGCGATGAGAGAATGTCACGTGTGCTCAAAGTGGAGAGGAGAGCAGCAAAAAAATTGAAGTAAATTAAGAAGTTTTCTGTTTCTTTGTCTGTCTCTGACGAGCGATGTGTGAAAGTGGGAAGAAGAGAAAAAAAGAAGTTATCGCGAAAATTGGAATAAAAATAAAAAAAAAAAGAAGAAAAAAAGAGTTTTGAAGTCTTTCAGTCAGTGCATTAGCATTCAAATTATTTTTTGTTGTCCCTGCTAGAAGAGTGTCACATTGTGAGAGTTTTGATCTCTCGTGATCAGTCATGGAATTGATCGCTATTAGATATTGGGAGAGATGATAAAGAGTATGGGAGGGGAGGAAAGAGGAACAAGAGCACAAATGTTATGATGAAGCTACGAACATGTAGAGATGGAATGAGAAAGAAAGTCAGAGAGGGAATAAGAACCATTTTGAAGATGTACAAGGGCATGCACAGAGAGGGGAAGAACACAGATAGAGAGAGAGAGAGAGCAACTAAGTAAACTTCCATATTTATATGTAAAGAAACATATGATAAAGGAAAAAAAGATAAGAGAAAGATCAGAGATGGCCAAAAAGCGTTTTTCTTTCTCAGTATCTCTCTGTGTGTATCTCTCTCTCTCTCTCTCTTTCTGTGTATGTGTTTCTCTCTCTATTAATCGCTCTCCCTCTCTAACGGAGACTTTTTCCTCTCTCTCTCTCTCTGTCCCTTCTTACAAGTCAAAATTCAATTTTCCAGCTTTTTACGGCTTTCTCTTAATGAAAACAAAAAAAGGGGAAAAAAAGAAAAGGAAAATTAAAAGCAGAAAAAGTGAGAGGAGAAGGGAAAAAGGAGCTTTTCTCAGATAAAAAAATGCTCTTAAGAAGAAAAGTTTTGTGCTCTGTGCGCTCGTCGATAGAAATCTCCTGAGATGATGTTATTCGAGGGCGAGCAAAAGCTCACAAAATGAAGGTCGTTTGTGTGTGTGTGTGTGTGTGTGTGTGTGTGTGTGGTGCATGTGTATGATGGTTGTTGTCTTTCAAACCATCTCTCAGATACTCTACAGAATATTATCATATTTCATGATGTTTGACAAAAACTCTTCTTTTCCTTCCCATTTTTGGATATGGAAAACGGAGGAGAGAGGGGGAGAGGTGGAGAGAGAAACGAAAACTTCCAAGAATTGCAAATTTCAAAGAAGTTTTGTCGCTCTTTTGCGGAAAGTTGTGCCTGAGGATTAATATGTGATAATAGCTTCATACTTTACGAACATCAAATGCCTCATTCTAATCATCTTTTCAACGACGAATTTTGTGGTCTCTCATCTTCTACTTTTGACTGCTTGCCTCTCCTGTCCTCTCTTCATAGGACTCTTCATTCTCTTACTATCTCTCTCTCTATCTCATCGTTGATTAGTCTCTATTCTTCTTTTTGTCTTTTACTCTCTTGAAGGTGTGTAAAGGCTTCTTCTCTTCAGCTTCTTCTTAACTCACATGGAATACATTATCATCACCTATAGTCAAAAGAAAACGAACGAAATGTGAGGGGGAAAGAACAGAATAACCAAAAGCTTACTTCATGGTTTTGCACGTCGAGAAAGCCAACAATTACCATCAACATCTACACAACATTCAGTACAGAAGACCTTTGAGATTGAAATAGCACGTAGTGAAAGGAGAAACGACACATCAATTCTGATGTCCTTGGAATGGACGTCAGAATCGGTTTTTTTCCACACTTGTGCCATTGAATCGTCTTCGCAACTTGAGTAGTAGCTTTTCACTCATATATATATATATACTTTAATAAAAAATTATTGCTCTCTAGTCTTCTAGTCACGAAGATGATGATCTTCGTCTTTCTCACCGAAGTTGTGGAAAGTAAGAGGTGAAAGAGATAGAGAGACAGCAGGAGACATGCAGATGTAGAGAGAAAAAAATAAAAAATACTCCAACATGTGGATGAACTTGAGAATTTTTATGTGCAAAAGCTTTTAAAGCATGAAGCTGAAGTACGTAAGGACATATCATGAAGTTGAGATTGAGACAACAACTTTGCCTCATCAAACATCTTATTCCTCTTTTATTAGGCTGATTGTTTAGAAATTTGTTTTCTTTTCTTTGCGGGGCAGTTTTTAATTAAAAATATGTCAGAAAAAACTTTCTTCGATTTGAAATACTATATGAAGGGTGAGAGAGAGAGATAGATAGAGGGAGACGAAATGATGAAGGGGAGAGAAGCAAGAAAAATAAAGGGAGGAAGGTCGGACTGGCTTCTTGGGCTGACTGGACCAAGCTTTGATCTTCAACAGATGATTTTCTTAACAATGCCAAACCAGTTAGTTGTGAAAGAAAAATAGATGATGGAGAAGAATGGGAAGGTGAGGGACAAGTTGAACGATGATGACGTTTGTTGTGCAGGTGGAAAATAAAAAAAAAGAAAAATTTTTTTTTCCATCTGAATTTCAATCGTTATCGTGATGTTGAAGGTAAAGGAAGAATAATGAGATGGACTTACAGAATAATATGAGATATGAAGCAGAAATGAAACAAAAGTTCAGAGAGTAACAGGAAGAGAGAAAAAAAGAGCGAAGAGGATGAGGCGCGAGTGTGTGAAAGTTCAAAAGGAAGGGGGGGGAGATCAGGCGGTGCAAAGTTAGAAATGAGAGGAAGAGCAAATGAGAACATGAGAAAATATGTTTCTAGATGAAGCTTGTCCATATCTTTCTGTCTCTCTGTTACTCTCTCTATGTGCTGATCTACTTTCTGAGTAGTGTAGGGTGAAAGAGAAAATGATATATAATTAGAGAAAAATAGAGAGACAGAGAGAGAGAGACATACTAGTTGAGAAGGAGCAGTTGAAAGAAGAAATAATAATTTTCTATTTATCATATATTCAGTCACATTCTCATTTTTTTTATATTTCCATCCAAAAATATATGAAAATGAGAAAAAGCTTCTTTCCCGAAGTTTTTCTTTCTTCATCAAGTCACTACTAGGCCAGGTAGTGTTCGATCGCTTGCTGATACTCAGTCAATCACGAATAATAATCTCTCATATCTCACATAGAATTTCAAATTAAAAGAAAAACGTGAATCAACAGACTTTGAGATGAAAGCGGAATCATATGATACGGATAAGGAAAGATAAGAGTTTGATCCAAAAATACATTTTCTTTCTATTATTTTCTATAAAGAGCTTTTGGAAGTAAATTAGTTGAGAAGAGAGAAAGAGAGAGAACTATATCTCGTCATGTGTCTCCTCCCCTCTGTTGATCTCATCCT